TTTGTGGGGGGGGGGGGGGGGGTTTCGTTGGTTGTAGTGGTGGGTTTCGATGGTGGGGTTGGGTGACAGGGTTTGGGTGATGAATTTTTGGTATAATACCAAACAGGTTTTTTATTTTTGCTTTAATAATTTTTTAAATATAAATGACTATCAAATATGTTTTATATTTTTAATTTTTATCACAAAAAAAAAAACATAAAAACGAAAAAGTTACCAAACGTACCCTTAGTAAAATACCTTTATATGGATAACAACTCTCATCTCTATAAATAGGAGATTAAGAAAAGAGAAACCAAAGAAAAGGGAAAACCAAGGAAGCTCTGCCCAAGTCTATCTCCAAAAGAAAATGAAAGATTAGGCTCTACCTGAGTATACTTCCAATCAAATTCCTGCAAATTCGTCTATGAGTAAAAGAGTACACCTCCAAAGTCCTTCAAAGAGATTCAAATCATTTTTAAGTCAATTAACACAAAGAACGGTGATAAAATTTAACAAAACCAACACTAAATCGAAAATCGAGAATCACATTGATATAATCCTCTTTTTTATCAAATCCACCGAAACATCATCAAATCGAATATAGATAATCACGTCAACCCGACCCTCATTTTCATCAAATTCTACAAAAGTCAATATTAAATCAAAAATCAAAAAAATCGTCAACCCGAACCTCTTCTTCACCAGANTCAAATTCTACAAAAGTCAATATTAAATCAAAAATCAAAAAAATCGTCAACCCGAACCTCTTCTTCACCAGATTCACAAAACTCGTCGTCAAATCTGTCGAGAATTAGAGGATAATATATGTGAGAAGTATGTCAAAAAGAGTCAACATCACTTTTCTAATCAATGTCAAACAAATCAAACGATTGTAATTTAACATCATTTTTGTGTTATTTTATACATGAAATTTGTCATTACAACACGAATTCCATTATTTTTGGATGTTAGTTATTTGATGCGGTACTTATTCAAAGTTCTTAAAATACTAAGATTTATTAAATCCGCATGTTATTTAATAATTAATTGGTGATACCACGAAGTAATGATGTGGTATTACCATTGCAACGATAGTTTCTCCAATACTAGAAGAAAATATTCAATGTTATGGTGCACCACGTGCTTACCGTCTTATGGTGTTACTATTCAATAAAAAGTAACATGTAAAGACATGAATTTCACATAATTTAGTACTTACTCCTTTCTTTTAATATTGTAACTAGTATAGAAGTCGATGATGCACAAAATAGTCTTGTGTAATATTAACAGTCGAGTGTGTGATAAGGTGTAATTAATGGACAATAAATAAAAAAATTAATAGCAATAATGTAAATATCGGATTAACACACAGATATATAATAGTTCGATTCGGGTGACCTACTCTACTTCGAAAAACGACAACAGTGGTCGGTGAATCTTTATTGATGAAGTAAAATAAACGAGAGAGAGTGTAATGGTTAACTCTGGAACAGGTACAATAGCTAGAAGAGAGAAAAACTATATGTGTAGAGATGTGTAGAGTTAAAGTTCAATGTATCTTTTCATGTAGAGAGAATTTATAATTTATAGACACAGGGCCTTGATTAAGGCGGTGACGTGAGGGTAAATGTACTGATTCTCTGGGTGTCTATAAAAGATAAGTATCATAAAAGGTTGTGTTGATCTTCGAGAGTGAGTATCCTGATAATTTTTTCTCGCGTGCTCTAATTCTTCTTAGACTCTTCGGACTTTGGGTTGAATCGAATTCACGAACTAGGCTTAACTTATCTTTTTAGCTGACTTTCGTTTAGTTAGTTTATTGGGCCTGATCCAGTTGAATTTGGATCTTAGAAGTGAAGTTCACTTTATTTATTTTATTAGTTTTTGTTAGATAGGAATACTATATANAAGTGAAGTTCACTTTATTTATTTTATTAGTTTTTGTTCGATAGGAATACTATATAACGATGATATAGTCTCCCTGCTGTATCGAATATTTACTGCAAGACTAGTGTTGGACATGTTACATTAACACGAGAAAAGAATTCAAAAAGACATCATCATTTAATATTTATCTAATATTATAGTTTAGAAGTTAGATTTTTAACTTATAAAAATATAATAACAGTCAAACTTTATATAATTTTTATCTATTTTGATACAATGGTATAAATTTCATTTCAAAATTTTTTTTTCCTGTTCAAAAAATCAACTTAACTAACACACTCTCGACACCAAATGAACCCAACTAATCCACATCTACTCTCTCTCCTACATCTCTCTTATTTTCTTTATCTACTTTCGTTTTAACTTATGTAATTAAATAAAAAAAAGAAAAATAGAATATTATTTAAGATGTAAGTATTATAATGCTTGATTTTTAATATTATAGAGTATCTTAAGGCACGTGTTATTGCCGAAAAAATATTAAATGAGTGAGTTATTCTCATAAACAAGATAGCGCGATTTTAATCTCATAAACCACTTTAATCGGTATTGTAAAAACAAAACGAGTGCATTTTTATTTTTTACAAATTATTTTATAATTAAATATTTTTTATTTCATTTTTTGTTTGCTATAGATAAAATAGATTATAGAAGATCTATGTTTGGTGAATTTAATTGAGAAAAAAAGGAAATTCAAGTACCACAATTTTTAGTTCATGAGTAACACAAAAAAAGATATGAACATGGCACAATTAGGGATAATAGTGGACCGAAAAAAAATGGATATTCGTCAAAATCTGTCATATTTGGAGCGGGGATGGACCATATGTATTGGACGGTAGACGTATACGGAGATACCCGTATAAACCCGTGCAGGATGGAATGACACTTACCCCCGCCCCCACCCCCACCCCCACCCCCATTATACCCGTTACAGACACACATATAAAGCCCTAGCTTACAGCTTACTCATCTATTTGCCTCCGCCTCCACCTCCACCTCCACCAGACTTCCACTGAACGTCTCTGTCTCTTTCCATCATCTTTCTTCATCATCTTTCTCAGCTTCTGTCTCTCTTTTTCCATCATCTCTCTCTCCATTGTCTCTCTTAGACTCTCAATCTCTCTCCATTATTGATTGCAAACCCTCCACTGACCAGGTAAATCTCTCCCTCTGTTATTTTTTTTTGCATCATTAGGGCTATGAGAACACCATTTCTTAACTGGATAGCTAGGGTTTAGATTAGATTATTGCCCCTTCATTTTTCTCTCTCTTGGGGGAAAGAACTTGTTTTAGAATAATTGATGTTGTTATAATTGATGCTGGAAAGAACTTGTTAGAATAATTGTTTCAGAATATAGGTAATATAGTGTCCTGATGTTGTGATGTTCAGAATAATTGATGCTTGCGGTGTATGTTGCTTATTCATTAGGTGCTTTTGTTTGTTGATACCTGAACGAATTCCTATGTTCATGATCTGCACCGTGCTCATCGAGCTTAATGGCTTTTTCTTTTATTGATTTTTTTCCTCCTTTTGTTTCGCAATGTTCGTGTTATGTACTTCCTTTCCTTTTGGCAATTAAATGAGGATCAATAGCAAGTGTTTTGGTAAAGAATTAGCATAGATTTACAATGAGAACTAAAATTCAATTAGCAAAAATGGAACTAGCCAACCAACAGTGATAGGCTGATTTTTCAGTGTTGGTTAATGGTGGCCCTATGGGGAATTTTACGAGTCAAAGGGATCTAAGGCAATATATTGCATCAAGATGCGGGAAAATCTGAAACAAATCTCTACCACCAGCGATTGGCTTGAGCTTGGGCTTAGGTGAGTACCGGTGACAGGGAACGGGGGTGGGGGTAGGGATTAGAAATTTACCCGCAGACGAGTATGAAAATGAAAATTATACCGGTTAACGGGAATGGACCGGGGATGGACGGGATAAACGAGTATGGGGATAGAGACTACACCCTCCACCCCCGCTTCGGTCCACTAACATCCCTAGGCACAATACATTATATTCCTAATTATGTCCCAATAGCATTAGTGTAAAAATTATAACTCTTATGATCATCCA